GGATTTGATGTTAAAACTACAGTTCTTGTGAGAACAAGCCTGTATCTGGGTGATGCTTTTTCTAAGCATTCAGTCCTTTGGGATGCTAGCCAACCATGTAGAAGGACATACTAGAACATCTATCACACATTTTGGGGGCCCTGTCCCAGCAAACCTTGAAAAGTGGCAATGACTTGTTTGCTTCCTCAAGGGGAAACTACACTGCAAATTTTACTTTCTAGGTTTTCCCACTTCACTAGGACTTAGTCTTAGTAATTCAATTTCTTTTATATCTCGGATACCTTCAACATTTTGTTAAATGATTTTTTTCTGGCGTATGGGTGTGTGACAAATGTATATACACAGGTGCGTGCATGCACATGTGGAGTCCTAAGGAGGGCCTTAAGTGTCCTGCTCTATATCTCTCTCTACTTATCCCCTGAGATGGAATCTCTCTCCTGAACCTGGAGCTGACTGGCAGCCAGCAGGCCCCAACATTCCTTCTGTCTCCCATCCCACCCTCAGCACCAGAGTTGCAAGAGCACTTATGGCCAAATCTAGTTTTTGACACAGCTGCTGGGATCTGAACTCAGGTCCTTGCAGCAAGCGTTTCGTGACAGAGGATCTCTCCAGCCCCTCTTCAAGACTGTTCAAATTGTTGTGGCGAGCCTGTGAAGCTGCCTTCATGAATTCCCTCCTGCATTTTTAGCAGAGGTCCCAATGCTGACAATGTGAAAACTGCCTTTTCTTAACTTCATTCTTCTTCCTTTACCTCACATTTGATGCTTACTATTCCCAATGCACATTTTGTGACATATTTAGTGAGTTAACCGTTTCAGTTTGCACATTACAAAGCTTCATTAAATGAGGTCATACTGTCCCCTTTCTGAGGCCAACTCAGGCTGAGAGATTTGGTACAACTTCATTAATGTTTTCATGTACATGCTTTGTGAGTGCAGGTGTGTACATGCCACTGCCCATGTGTGGAGGTCGGAGCAGAACCTCGGCTGCCATCCTGGCCTCCGGCTTGGAGCAGGGCTTCTTTGCTGTCCGCCACTGCATACCAAGGTGGCTCACGGCTTCCACGTTCTTACTGTCTATCCCCTCAGTGTCCTCCTCAGCTTTGCACTCGGGCTCTCCTAGGAAGCTAGGACTCTGTTCCCTTGCTGCCATTTAATTTCAGCCTCATTAAATCAGGCCCGAAGAGAACAGATCATGAAATTTGGTATATCTAACAAATGAGGTTTTTTTTCCCTCCTGTGGCCAATATATCTGTTATACAAATATTTTGAAAGGAAAAAAGCGTGTTTTCTTTAGTATGTGATACAACTTTGGGGAATTTGTACTGAAAGAAAACCTCCCAAATATAAGGGAAAATGTTCTTCCTTTCTTCCTGTTTTCTTTCCCTTTCTCTCATCCTTCCTTTCCTTCCTTCTTTCCTTTCCTTTTTTTGGGATACAGTCTCACTATATAACCCAGACTGATCTTAAACTTGAGATTCCTTGGAGTCCTCATGTGGGCTGTAGGTGTGGGCCACCGTGTCCATCTGGGATAAGTATTCTTAGACATTTATTGCAACATTTCTTGTAGTTGCAAAAAAGCAGAACTAAACACAGAAATGAAGAGTAGGGACTTAAAAATTATGGTATGTACATATTATTAAATATTATACAACCATAGAAAAAGTGTAGGAAACAGCTATCTATAATGACCAAGTAGGCTAACCAAAGCATTAAGTGGGAAAAAAACCACATTGAAAACCAATTTATATGATATAATTCAATTAGAGCAAATAAATAAAAAGACCAACAAAAACAAACAAAAAGCTGGTCTTGTCACATATGCTGGATGAAAACAGCAGACAAAAACATTTGCCCTGATGACCGGAGTTTGATTTCTACACCCCATGGTGGAGGGAGAGAGCCAACTTCTGAAAGTTTTCCTCTGACGTCCCACATTTAAGCCTGGGCACATGTGCACCCACATTACACACATATAGTGCCCCTTCACAAACAATAATAATAAATAAAATTTATAGAATTAAAGAAAATTCACAAATCAGGAGTGTGCACTGAAGTGTGGTTCAGAAGACCTAAGTTCTATTCCTGTGTTGTGAGCAGCACTAAAGGCCATGAGAAAAACTCACTTTGCTTCTAGATAGCTACCCCATACCAGAAGGTAATATGAGAAGTGACCGAGCTAAACAGCCCTGGACTTCATTTTGAACAATGCTACTTACTAGTCACATGACCTTGGGTAAGGAATATCCCCAAAGCCTTAGCTTTCTGACTCAAGAAAGTGACGCTAACAATGCTTTTCACTTGCACAGGAAGCAGCTGCCCATTTTGTAAGGTGGCAGGTGCTACACAGATGGGTCCGTCATGGGCATGCTCATTCACAGCTGGCATTAGAGACCTCCATGATCTCCACCCAGTCTCCACTACAAATACAACTTCAATTTATTTATGGCTTGCTATGGGCAAAACACTCAGCTAGGAACTCAGTTAATCTCATTTAATTTTATCCTTACGATACCATAAATTGTATGACTTAACCTTATTTTCTGGAGTAAAAACTAGAAGATTAAAGAGATCAGTCACTATTCTCTTTATTTGTCCATTTACTTTCAGGCTGGGGAACTGAACTCTAGTAACAATTCTAAGGTTATAAACCTAACAAGCTGCAGTGTCCGAATATGAAGTTTAATTTTAAAGTTCAAATTTTAGTTGCTGGTCATGGTGGCACACACCTTTAATACCAGCACTTGGAAAACAAAGGCAGGCGGATCTCTGTGAGTTCAAGATCTGCCAGATCTACATAGCCAGTTCCAGGCCAGCTGGGGCTACAGGGAGACCCTGCCTTAAAAAAAAAAATTTCCACCAGGTGTGGTGGCGCACGCCTTTAATCCCAGCACTCGGGAGGCAGAGGCAGGTGGATCTCTGTGAGTTCCAAGCCAGCCTGGTCTACACAGTGAGTTCCAGGACAGCTGGGGCTACAAGGAGACCATCTCACAAAAC